GCTCCAGTCACTGAGCTTTTTCTTCGCGGACGATGTAAAAGTCGTAGGATCAGAGGGGTGAGAGGATCTGGCCGGAGATATTGCTTCAGTCCTAAGCTGGGCCCTCAAGTGGGACTTGCCACTGAATGCTGGCAAAAGTCAACTGCTATCACGAGCCGTAGGGGGTATCACAGTTGGCTACGAGGTAGATCCCTTCACTATGGAGGCGGCGGAAAATGTAAAAGACCTAGGAATCTTGGTAACTGCTGATCTTAGGTGGTCAAATTAGCGTTCCAGAGCGGTACAGAAAGCTAGGGGTGAATTATTTAGACTAAGGTCCGTGTTGTCGTGCCGTAAACCTGAGGTATTCATACCTCTGTACAAGGCCATAGTAAGGCCCCACCTAGAGTATTGTGTCCAGGTATGGTCACCCTTCTTCAAAAAGAATGCCGCCGGTTTAGAGTGGGTTCAAAGGCTGGCAACGAGAATGGTTGAGGATCAGTGTGGCAAAGAATACAAATCAAGACTTCAGGACCTGGGATTATACTCTTTAGAAAAGAGAAGGCTNAGATAGGATAGAAACCTTTAAGATAATGAAAGGTTTATCTGGTATTAGACCAGAAAGACCAGTAGCAGCAGCGGCACACTCAGGTTGCACGTTCTTTGTTTCCTCCTGCCATTTATTGGGATGTAGCCTGGGAGATGAACGCTCAGGAATAACAATCTCTCGCCTTGGAGGTGAGATGAGGCATCTTTCCTTTTTCTTCCCCTTTTCAGCCAGGAAGTTACGGACTACTTTTCGCAGTGGTCGGTGCCAGAATTCACCGCATTACACCGAAAGAATTCTGGACGATCGATTGACCGTGGCCATTTTCTGTCCTGTGCAAACTGAAATGAACTGAACTGAACTGAACTGAACTTTCAGTTCAGTTTCCACAGGACGAACTGTGGTTTTTGCCAATTGCGCGTCCAGTTCATTGTGTTTTCGGCGGTTTCGTTGGCTTCCAATACTTCAAGTTAGTGACTTTTATGAAAGGCAGAGTCTTAGTGTTAAGTATCAGATCCCTTACAAAATTCCAGGAAGTAGTATTGAAGTGATTCATGGGTTCGAGGCTTTGCCCAAATGTCCCGGGTCCTTGAAAGGTGTCTGTTTTCTTTTCGTTCGATTGTTTTCTAGAATAAAGAGTACTGAAAAGGCCTAACGGTTAACTTTCAACACTCAGGTCCGATCAGGTCATTTTGCACAGGACGGAATATGGCCACAGCCAATCAAACGTCCAGAATTCCTTCAATGGTATGCTCACTATGTGGGCACCCAGCTTTCCTGAAATAAGAATGAGAAATAGGATCTCATCTCACCAAGTTCGCGAGTGAATTGTTAGATGTGAGTATTCCATTACGTGCACCAGTGAAAAAGTGAAAAGGCATCCTAAACATTTTGGCCTTCCCCTGGAGCTATCCGCATCAC